TGTGTAGTGATAGGTGGTGATGCCCAAGAATCTGCTAGAGATATTTTGGAAATAGATGAAAACAATGACTCTCGTGAGGTTGAAATAGCGGATAGAAAGTTAAGGGAGTTGATAGCCAGGGCTGATGCACTTCTTCTGGATGGAGGGAGTTGTTTATCTGTATGGGAAAGTGAAGTGGTTTTGTGTGATAATAATTCTTTGCGTACTAAGGAGGTGGTTAACCTTGTTGAAGAAGTAGTGGATAAAGCGAAAAACAGAAATACCAGTATGGAGGATGAAGAATTTAGGGAAAGTGAAGAGCTGAATCAAAAGACTACGGAAGTATTGAAAAGGGTCGAAAATATTTTTGAGGTGATGCGAAAATCAGTTGCATATACAAGGATATCAAATGAACTGTGTTGGTATTCACGTGGTCACTTGGAAGAAGTCATGAATAACCTTGGAGAAACGCAAACACCGTATGCGTATATACTTGAAGATGAAAAATATAATACGACAGAAAGAATACTACTAGATAAAATGCGCAATAAAACATACAACCAGTTATATAATTTCATGGGGAATTTCGGTGGATTGGTTATAAGGACTCGCAATTCGTTGGAGAATACCAAGGAGAAGGCTAAACATGTGAAAAAAGTATTGGAACGTCTAATAAAAGAGTTAGAAAATATCGAGAGGACCGTTATACCCGGACAAGAGTCACAACGCGCAAAAGTCGTTGGTAGAATTAAAGAGGTTCTGATAACGGGCAAAGCGAAAATAGAAGATATTCTAACCTCAATATCCACGACGAGATTTAGACGTACTAGAACAAAACAAAATCCACAATTCGTTAGGGACATTAATGATAAAATTAGTAAAATAAAAGAATTAGAACTTCGGCGTATGTCTCTGGTGATAATGGTTCAACAAAGAAAACTGTCTCAAGAACAGGCGAAAATGAAAGACGATGAAGAAGAAGGAAAAGAGAAAATGTTTGAATCACAGGAGGCGAGAAAAGAGAGAGATGAAGAACACATGACAAAGGCTACACAACAGGATGAAACGAAAAACAATACTGAAACACAAAGTCCAGTTAAAGAGGAACATGTGAAAGTGGATGAAGGAAAACGACTCGATGAAACACCGGAGGCACAAAGTGAAGCAGAACGAAAACAACAGGTGAAAATGGCTGTAGAAAAGGACAAAAAAAAAGATGTTATGGGAGCCAAGACAACTAGCCCGAATGTAAAAAGCAAACATAAAATAAATAAAAAAATAAATACTGCATTAGGTCTCCCTTCAAATCATTCCGTGTCATCGAATCCCAAAAAAATGACTGACA